CAGTTTGACTATGAGACTTAGAAAAACATGAACTCGGGAAGACAGAGGATGTTAACCAAATGGTTGCTGGGTCCTATTGGCCCGGGTGCCTGCAGGGAGAAAGGGAGGAGGAGATTAGCCAGGCTTTATGCCTTGCTGTACTTGTACATATTTTCCACAGTGCTTATGACCTACAGTCAGGAAATAGGGAGATAAACTCGAAATGTCACCTCTGCTCAAAAAACCTTCTGTAGTTCCTTATTTTTTACACGACAAACCATAAATCCAGTATCTGGTATTTATAGTCTTCTAAGGTCTGGTCCTCATCAGCAGGCCTGGCTTCATGGTGTGTGATGCGTGAAGTTGCACAGGGCCTGTACTCAGAAGCAAATGGGATTGGTGGAAGCTCCTGCTATGGCTTTCTTAGGTTTTAAAGAAGCCTGGCACATTTTTATTATGCACCATACACCACAATTTTAGGTAATAGGCTGATTATCAGTATCTTTATCCATCCAATTCTTTAGCCAACACCCTTTGGAGTGCTGTGTCTAGCTAGCCCGAGTCAGAGGCCATGGTGAGGATAACTAGGAAACTAGCGTGTGCTGCATCAAGGGGACTAGGGATTCTCAGTGGGGTTGTGAAGGAGCAGGAGATACGTAGTGTTTACTGAATGTCTTGAGCCTTATTCTAAGCTCTCGGACAAAAACTGAACAAAGCAGACCATCTGTCCCTGCCCTGTGGAGCTTAGATGCTGACAGGGGAGACAGATAAGAAATAAACAATTCTCTTTGCTGGGCAGTCCTATGGGGAAAGCCACAGAAGGATAAAATGTTGAGGGCTGGAACTGGGGGGGGGGACACGATTCGTTTCAGAGTAGTAAAAAAGTCAATAAATCATGGATGATTCAAACACAGAAGATGTTGACACAGAAGCAGAAAATCACACTACACTGTGAGTTTGTCATTGTAGAGACTGAGTTAGAACATAAATGAGCAGGAACTTGCACCACCTGGATGAGCAAGGACAGGGCTGGGGAAGGGCTTGGATTAGTCAGCTCTGACTCATCTTTCCCCAGCTCTCAAACAGGCAGAGACCACTTTCTCCTGGTCATACTTCGGAATTTTCTCCCATTCTTTCACTGTGACAGGAGAGGCTAGATAGATTTTCACTTCTCCTATTCTCTGCAGCAAATCCCACTTCTTCCCACCCCTCTGCTTCCTCCCTCCTGCTTAGCCTCTTTATCCTGAAACTTATCCTATAGTCCTCATCTTTCTCTTGAATTTCAGACGTGAATACTAACTGCCTTTGTTCCCTGGGGCTTCTGGGCATCTGAAAGAGGGAGGTGTGGTTCCCCATTGGGGTCAGACCCTGTTACATTTGGGCATTCATTGTGCTTGCCCAGGATACCAGAGCCTGTGGCTAAGAAAAGGAAACTGATGGGTAGGGAGGCAAAGTGACCAGGCAAGGTCCTGGACTTTCGATCCCACCAGTCAACTGCTTCACCTACCCCATAGGTGCCAAGCTCCTGCTGTGTCCCATTGTGTGATTTTCAGGGTCAGTTTAGCTTTAGAATTATAGGTTTCTTTACCCTGAGTATAATGCAGCAAGGACAGAATTTAGGGGAATTTTGTGTAGCCTAGTGTCACAATAATAGCTTGGCCTTCTCAAGGACCCAGTTAGCTACTGCCTCAGTACCAATGGGACCTGAAGATGCTAAAGAGGAACACATGATACTGAAGTATAAGATGGAATGCCAATATGATAACTGACACCAACCTGTCCCCTTACTCAGAGCTGTCCATTCAGGAAGTCAGGTTGTTCTCAAATGATTGTTTGGTGGGCAGAGCAAATTCCTTGCTTAGTCTGTGACATTATAAGAGCAGGATATAACAACATATATTATATATGCACCTCTGTTTGTCACACAAATTCACTGATGTTCAGGAATGCTAAGTAGTCATGGATGTGGTGCTATACTCCTTTAATTCTAGTACTGAGAGGCAGAGGCAGAGACAGGAACATCTCTGAGTTCAAGGCCAGCCTGGTCTAAAAAGTGAGTACCAGGATAGTCAGGGATTTACAGAGAAATTATCTCAAAACCCAAACAAACAAAAACAAAAAAGAAAGAAATGCTAAGTAGCTTGCTTGAGTATACATAGCTGGTACCTGACTGTGGGACCCCAGCATCATTTTCTGCTATTTAACCACTAAGAGATACTGAATGGATGGTGTTGCCATAGATAAGAGGGGTATCGTTTTTTGTCTAAGTCAAGTTGAAGTTTAACCTAATACCTGTGATAATACTGCCACCATGCCAATGGGATGAATTATTCCTGAAAATTCTCTTCCCCAAGTGACTCTTCATAATCAGAGCTTTGTGCAAAACATACAAGGTCAGAGTTATTTCTAACATGACACCTCTTGTGAAGCAAGTAAACAATTTCGTTTCTGAAGATGCAGAATTAGCTGTGATTGCATTCTACAGTAAATCTACTGGTGTCAGGACCATGGAATTTGGGGTCAGGTAGGCCTCAGGTTCCAGTTCTGGGTAGCATTAACTATTTTGCCACCCAGTCTCAGGCTTCCTTATTGGCAAAAGAGAGACAACAACACCTCCCTGGATTCTTTATTAATAGAAAAATGGAGCAATGAGTATAATGTGATTAGCATAGACAATGCCTGTGGTAAGAACAATTAAAACATTTCTGGTGAGGAGGAATCTAATTTGCTCTCCAGTTCAGCTATGCAAGTAGTCTATTGCATTATCACTACCACTATCATCATCGTTGTTGTCATCGTCATCATCTTTACTTAGCTATCCAAGGCAACTATTCAATTTGCTATGATAATGTTGAAAATGGAGCTATTCAATTTGCTGACCAATTTAATTCATTCATTGTAATAAAACTCCAGGCTTAACATTGACTTTGGCAGGAACCACACCCGTGGGGTTCTGACCACACTATATCCACATGGTTTTCCCCTTCACCAGCTCTCTTTATCTTAGAACCAGGCACACACTAGACATGCTGTGAGGGAAATGAACATTCCTTTGGACCTGAGGGGCATAAATCTTTCCTGCTCGGCCTAAGTAGGCAGGTGGCTATTTTCAAGGCTGATTTGGAGTCTGTCTATTGTCAATCACAGTCTCTTAAAGAGGCTGATGTTCTGAGGCTGTGAGCATCACTGGGGTCTGGCCTTATAGAAGCATGGTTCCAAAAGGGGTTTGTATGGTGAAAGTCAAACAAAGCAAGGACTCTTAGGAAGAGGATCAGTGAAGTTTCCCACTGCCTCAAATGATGTTAAAGTCAACTGGCAAGTGTGACTTTTTGCATGGTTTTCCTGAAGAATGGCAGGCACTTTCCTCAGTCATCCGCAGGCCAAAGGCCACTCAGATGGGTGAGTGGAGGCAAGCCTTGATGGGCCTTGCCTTAGTTCTGTGACTATGAGAAGTCATCTAAACTTGTTCCCCCTTTTGGTTTCTTGAGACATAGTTTCTCTGTGTAGCTTTGGCTGTCCTGGAACTCACTCTGTAGACCAGGCTGGCCTCTAACTCACAGAGATACACCTGTCTCTTCCTCCCAAGTGCTGGGAGAAGTCATCTAAACTTAAACCTCATCTGGGTATTCAAGTGTTCACAAACATGTATCCCCTTCTCCACTCCCACTAGACACATCTGTGCAGAGCATACATATGAAGATGCTAGGTTAAAAGATGCTTTTGAAAGAACCTGACAATTGATAGAGATGAGAAAGGGATGTTTAGATACAGATGTTGTCAGGAACTGTGCTAAGCCATTTGCAAACTTTCCTCCTAGGGACTCTGGAGGGAAGTATGCTGATCTTAGAAAAGTAAATAAATAAAGATATGGGCTTAGTAAAATGGTTTATCTGGTAAAGATATTTGCCCATACAAGCATGATGATTTGAGTTTGATCCCTGGAACTCAGAAAAAGCTAGATGTGGGAGCTGGAGAGATAGCCCAGCAGTTATCAGAGAACCTAGTTTGATTCTGAGCACCCACATGGTAGCTTGCAATCACAGCCCCAGGGGCTCTGATGCCCTCTTCTGGTGTCTCTAGGCAACAGGCAAGCATGTGCTACACAGACATACATGTAGGCAAAACACTCATACATACAAAATAAGAATTCTAAATCTGGATGTGGTGACCCACATCTGTAATTGCAGTGCTCCTACAGCAAGACAGGAGGCAGAGACACTGCCCTGGAGCTTGTGGACCAGCTAGGCTGAAGTAAACAGTGCAGTGGTAGAAACAGTAAGGGAGACATTGCTTCAACAAGGTGGAAGGAGACAACCAACTCCAAAAAGTTGTCCTTCTAACTCCACAAGTATGCTGGGGCATCTGCTCTCTCTCTCTCTCTCTCTCTCTCTCTCTCTCTCTCTCTCTCTCACACACACACACACACACACACACAGAGGTAAAAACCAACCTATAACATCCACAGTATACCATTTTCCATGTTAGTAATTTTCAAGGATCCAGTTCTGGCTCTAAGACACAACTGGTTGTGCTTCCATTACTACCATCCTGCTCCAGGACCCCTGTCACCTGCACAGCTGAAACTTGGAACTTACGAGACAATGATAGCCCCATTCTCCCTCCCTCCAGCCTCCCACACCTGCCACTCTACTTTCTCATTATACAGCTCTGACTATTCTGGTCCCTCCTAAGAATGGAGTCATGGCATGCATCTCCTGTGGCTGGCTTCCTTCACTTAGATGATGTCCTCAAGCTTCTTCCATGTTAGAATATGTGAACCTACTTTTTAAAAAAAGTTTAATAACATCCCATGGTATAGATATGCCATGACCATTCACCTACTAGCAGCTACTTCACCTTTGGCTCTATGAATGGGGCTAGGAAGGTGGGTGCACAGATAGCTCCTCAAGGTCCCGCTCCCTGCTTTTTTTTTT